GCTGCGGTGGCCGGGCGGTGCCAGCCCGCAGGGTGACAGAGCGGTGGGGCGGCCGGGCAGCCGGGGGCGGAGGCAGAGCTCGCAGGCAGCATGGCGGGGCTGCGGATCAGGCGGGGCTCTGGGCTCAGGTTGCTGGCGCTGTCTGCGCTCGGATTCTGCCTGATGCTGCAAGTCAGTGCCAAGAGGCCCCCCAAAACGCCTCCCTGTCCGCCCAGCTGCTCTTGCACCAGGGACACGGCCTTCTGCGTGGACTCGAAGGCAGTGCCCAGGAACCTGCCCGCCGAGGTCATCTCTCTGTGAGTGCCCAGCCCTGGTCCAGGGGGTGGAGAGCCAAGAGGGGGAGGAAGGCAAGGACCACTCTGGGAGTTGATGGGGAGAACCCCATTCCTCTTCTAAGGAATATGGGGACCAGGAGGACTCCAGGGTAACCTCAGGACTGAAGACTCAAGGTATCAGCCAGGCAGGGAGTTTTGCAGTCATGCAGGCTCAGCAGCCATGGCTGGGGAGAACAGGACTTCGGGGCCAAGAATGAATCATCACCACCAGCAGCATCAATGAGACCTACTGTGTGCAGGGCTCTGGACTTGGAGGGAGGGGGTTTGCTTACCCCAGCATGTGGGCCCCTGCCTGTGATGTCACATCAAGGGCAGAAAGGCTTCTAGTGGGGGGAGGGAAGGAGGCAGCATGGGGAGGGGTGGGAGTGAGATACATCCACACTGGCAAGGGGCAGATGCCTGCCACTGGTCTCACCAGCCACTCTGCACACAGCCAGCCGGCCTGTCACATGCAGCAGTGGCCTCCGGGACCAGACAGGCTGTGTGGTCCTTGAGAGCAGGATGCTAATCCCTACCCCCATCCCAGGGCCCCATCCCTCCACAGCACCCAGCACACTGTGGGTGTTTGAAGGATCATGAAAGTGTGGCTAATGGAAACTTCTTTTGGCTGAGTGGGACGCTGAACCTGGGGCCATTGGTGCTCAGGGAGGCAGTAGGGGAGGTAACGATGAGGCAGGCAGTGACGAGAAGGAGAAGACAACTTCAGGTGAGGGCCAGGTTGGTGACCTGGGAGTTTACAGGGTGAGTGCATCCAGAAGCCATTGTGCTGTCCACCTGGCACAGTCCCTACATATTCCTCACAGTACTGACTTCGGTGTCCCCTGCAGGACGCTGGTGAACGCTGCCTTCTCGGAGATCCAGGATGGAGCATTTTCCCACCTGCCACTGCTGCAGTTCCTGTATGGAAAGGGCCTTGTGGAAGGCGGGTGGTGGCCTGGGCAGGGGCAGTGGAAGGGGTGGTTGTTTACATTGGAAGCCCCGGGTGAGAGTGGAACACAAAGCAGAGATGCCATGGGGTAGACCCAGCTTGCCAGGAAAGATCTGTCCTGACTGTTTATACCCTGGGAGCAAACAGGGACCCTGGGAGTTTCTGGGACCAGAACAGCTCCTGCCTGGTCTTGCTACCCAGGCTGCTCTGGGGTTCTCTGCTGAGGTCCCGAGGGTAGGAGGCTGGGCAGTCAGGCCTTGAAGCCCAAGGGCGAGGCAGCAGGCACACCCTTGGAAACTCTAATTCTGCCTTTGTCTCTCCAGGTTACTCAACTCCAACAAGTTTACGCTGATCGGAGACAGCGCCTTCACAGGACTGTCACACCTGCAGTACCTGTGTGTGGGAAGGAAAGGGAAATGGAAAGTCCAAGGGAGGAAGGAGGAGGGCTTGGGTGGGCTGAGAGGGGAGGTTGAATGAGGAAGTCTGGGGGAGGTGAGAGCCCTTGAATCCTGTGACTGCAGGACCTGAGCAGAGGAGAGGTCATTTCATCCATCCCTCTGCCTAAACCATCCTGCCTGGATGCCCTGTCACCACGGGCTTAGTGTCACCACGGGCTTAGTGTCACCACATTTGGAATAAAAGCCTGTCTGAGGGCCATGGGCTGGACTCTAGGCATGGTGTAGGGAAACAGGTGGGGGAAGGGGGTCTTGGGATCTGGAGTGGTAGCTGAGACAATTCTCATTTCCTCCAGCTTCATTGAGAACAATGACATCTGGGCACTATCCAAGTTTACTTTCCGAGGACTCAAGTCTTTAACACACCTGTGAGTACATCCCACACATACACTGACTCATTGGATCAAAGCCCCACCGAATCCCCACCCACTCCCATCTCTGTCCCTTGTGGCCTTTGGCCTTGGTCACAATCTTCAGGTGACCCATATGTCTCTCTTGCAGCTCGCTGGCCAACAATAACCTGCAGACACTGCCTAGAGACATCTTTCGGCCCCTGGACATCCTGAGTGACTTGTAAGGCCTGAGTCCAAGGTCTTTTGACAGTGCCACAGAGGGGAGCATTCCTGGAGGGAGTGGTGTGGGAGCCAGGATTGGGAAGATCATAAAGTCTTGAGAGGCTAAGAGGGCTTGGTTTGGAGGGGGTGGGGGCTCTAAGAAGGCTAAGTAAAATTAAATATAGGTTGGTAGCCTTCTAAGTTGGGGTTCCTCAGGCATCTATAGGCCCTCTTAAAATGCACATGAGACAATATGTGTATGTTTTTCAAACATGTGCTTTCTAAATCTATGTTTGATTTGAATCTACATTAAAGTCTGATAGCAAGTCACATTCATTGATGAGTATTTATACAAGAGTCTGAAAGCCCTGGACTGTGGAAGGGTGGGAAGAAATGGGCTGCAACATGGAGTTGAGCAGGTTATACACTGCTAAAGGCACCTGGTTAAGGAGGCAATAGGGGCTGAACTCAGCCTCCACTCAGGTGGCCAAGCATGTGTCCACAGGGATGCATCCACCCCAAGGGGAACCTTTTTCTAATGGGCACAAAGATGCCACATGAGCAACCAGCAGCAGCCTTGAAAATATCCACTTCTGAAACCTTGAGGTCCTGGGTGGGCTGAACAGCTGAAAGCCTGCCTCTCTCTATGTCCCCTCCATCACCCTCATGATCAGGGATCTGCGGGGAAACTCGCTCAACTGTGACTGCAAGGTGAAGTGGCTGGTGGAGTGGCTGGCACACACCAACACCACGGTGGCCCCCATCTATTGCGCCAGCCCGCCCCGCTTCCAAGAGCACAAGGTGCAGGATTTGCCACTGCGGGAGTTCGATTGCATCACCACAGGTAGGAGGTGCCCCTGCCTTGGACCTCAGGCTGGGAGCTAACTCCCCAGCCCCTTCCCTTGCTTGCTAAGCAACCCTTACCACTCAACAAACTCTTACTCTTCTCCCCTCACCAATCCCTGCAGATTTTGTGCTGTACCAGACCCTGTCCTTTCCAGCGGTATCAGCTGAACCCTTCCTTTACTCCAGCGACCTCTATGTGGCTCTGGCCCAGCCAGGTGCCAGCGCTTGCACTATCCTCAAGTGGGACTATGTTGAACGGCAGCTTCGAGATTATGATAGAATCCCAGGTACTGTGCCCAACCTCGCTGTTCTGGCCCCAGCTAGGGAGAGCTGAGGGGGGTGGTGGTTTCTATTGTTCTTCTCCATTGAGTTACACAAATAACATCCATATGGTAGGTTGGTGCTAAGAGGGAAATATGGACACGATGCATTGGGAATACAAAAGAGAGGCTTGCCCTGGGCAATCAAGGAATGCTTCCTGGTGGAAGGGATGCCTACAGTGAGTCTTGAAGGATGAGGGAGAGTAAGGAATCAAAGGTGATGACCAGGTTTCTGACTTAAGTATCTGGGTGGTGCCAGTGAACTAAAAAAGAGGAGATAGTGAGTTTAAGCTGAGTCTAGAACCCTGAGGGAGACTTAGCTAGGAGAAAAAAATGTAGGAAGGATGATTTGGCAGAAAGAACAGCATGAGCAAAGTCAAGAAGGTGTGCAACAGCTTATTGTGTGAATACAGGCTTATATAAGCAACTTATATGACTACAGCATAAGGTTCAAGGTGGACAGTTGCAGGCCCAAGAGAGATGAGGACAAGGTCATTGACAAGCTTTGAGAAAGTGTGTGAGCCAATCCAATCTATATTTTAGACCACTCCCTCTGTGAGCATTGTGGAGAATGGCTAAGCATGGAGCAAGACATGTGGGCAGACCAGTAGGGGGTCAGCTGGAGCCTGGACTGAGGCAGCATCGGTGGGATGGAGAGTTATATTTAGAAAAGGGGATTGAACTGACACAAGAGGAAACAGAAAATGTAAATCACCCTATATCTATGAAAGAACTTGAAGTAATTATAAAAAAAACCTTCCCCCAATACAAGATTCAGATGGTTTCCCTAACAAACACTTAAGGAAGAAATAACACCAATATTACACAAACTGTACTAGAAAGCAGAAGGAAGGGTTGACTGAACTTGGGAACTGATCAGCTGTGGATGAGGGAGGGACAGGGAGGTTTGGGGGATGGCTCCCAGGTTTCTGGTGGAAGTAACTAGATGGAGCCACAAATGGACATCAAGAACAGAGGAGGAAAGGAGGAACAGGTTAGGGGGTAGATGTGGAACTCAGTTTTGGCCAGCTGGAGTTTGAGGTGCTTGAGGGTGTCCGGGCAAGGAGAGTCTGAGCTGCAGTGGCTCAGGAGCTGGGTGATCTGGAGCTTGGCAGTTATTAGGAACTGGGCTGGCAGACTAAGAGTGCAAGAAGGACTCAGAGACTCAGGCTCAGCACAAGCTTCCCTTGGGGAGAAGGTGCGTGAAAGTGATGACTGGAAACATCAGGACAGGTGAGGAGTGTGGCCCCATATGCTTGGGTGCCTGGGAAGGGGTGAAATCAATCTAGTTGAGGACAAGTACATTTGTTGTCATACATAAAAGCCTTTCAAAAGTGGGAGCTCTTGGGAGAATGTGTTTTCATACACAACTCTCCAGAAATCAAGCTATCATTTTGCACCCAGCTATGGACTAGCTCAAACTCTCTCTCCTTCCCCTGCCTGGCCACTTGCCAGTAGGTAGCTTTGGGCAAGTCACTTAGAATGTGAGCCTCAGTTTCTTTCTGTGTGAAATGGCAAAATAATTGGGTGCATTTCAGAGTGATTAACTGGGGCAATGTGTTCATACTTAGCACAGTGACTGCACACAATATAAATTTAATTATTGACGCTATGGTAAAGAGTCCATCAATATCTAAGGGCACCTATTTCGTGTTCGGTGTTAGTGTATATTTGAGCCCTGGGGCAAGGGCGGATGGAGGGTGATGCTGAGGCTAATTATTAGCTGTGAAGCAATTTGAGGAATGTCAGTGGGGAGGGACTACTGTAACAGAGGGACTTGGCTCCGGCCCAGGGTCAGGGCAGACTGACCCTCTTTTCCAAGGCTGGGCCAGGGCACGAAGCTACCTGTGTTGCCTGACGCTGCTCCCCTGCTTCCCGCAGCCCCCTCAGCCGTGCACTGCAAGCCCATGGTGGTGGACAGTCAGCTGTATGTGGTGGTGGCCCAGCTGTTTGGTGGTTCTTACATTTACCACTGGGACCCCAACACCACACGCTTCACCAAACTGCAGGACATCGACCCCCAGCGTGTGCGCAAGCCCAATGACCTGGAGGCCTTTCGCATAGACGGTGACTGGTACTTCGCTGTGGCTGACAGCTCCAAGGCGGGTGCCACCAGCCTCTACCGCTGGCACCAGAACGGCTTCTACTCCCACCAGGCCTTGCACGCATGGCACCGTGATACCGACCTGGAGTTTGTGGACGGCGAGGGCAAGCCTCGGCTGATTGTGTCGAGTAGCTCCCAGGCACCTGTCATCTATCAGTGGAGTCGCACCCAGAAGCAGTTTGTGGCCCAGGGTGAAGTGACTCAGGTGCCTGATGCCCAGGCTGTGAAACACTTCCGGGCTGGACGCGACAGCTACCTGTGCCTCAGCCGATACATAGGGGACTCCAAGATCCTGCGCTGGGAGGGCACCCGCTTCTCGGAGGTACAGGCCCTGCCCTCCCGGGGCTCCATGGCGTTGCAGCCCTTTCTTGTGGGTGGCCGCCGCTACCTGGCTCTGGGCAGTGACTTCTCCTTCACCCAGATTTACCAGTGGGATGAGGGGCGGCAGAAGTTTGTGCGATTCCAAGAGCTGGCTGTGCAGGCCCCTCGAGCCTTCTGCTACATGCCTGCTGGGGACGCCCAGCTGCTCCTGGCCCCCAGCTTTAAGGGGCAGACGCTTGTGTACCGACACGTAGTCGTGGATCTCAGTGCCTAGACGGGTGCCAAGGCCTCTGGATTGGAGGCTGAGGGGAGCCTCTGTGCGAGCAGCGTGCATGTACACACACTCCTGGTAAGCATGGGCACCTCATGGACTGGCCCCTGGAGCCACTCATCATAGTTGAAATCAGCATGAGAACTCTTTTATGCACCAGGCAACCCAGTGCCCAAGGCCCTCCCATCTGTGGATACCCTTGGACCCCCACCCCACCTGCAGGCCCCTTCGATCTGTTGCCTTCCACAAGCTCTGGCCTGAGGAGGGGAAGGAGTGCTGGGAGGGAGGGTCTTGAGCTTCTGACCCTCTGGTCTCTCCTGTTGGTGCTCCAGGTGTCTGTTTAACCTGCTCGTGCCCCACATTGCAGCCACAACCACATCCTTCCTACTGTGGGTACATTCACCTACCGTCCGCTCCTCCTGCATGTACATACACCTGTCCACATCCCTATTTTCCTGTGCACATGTGCAGACTCAATGCTGCCAAATGGGGCCCATCTCCATTACCTTGCCTCCCTTTTTGGAGAGGGCACACAGTTCTGTCCTCCTCTGCTCATCCCTGGTGTCCACCCTGCAGTTGATAAGGGTGGTAATGGTGGTGCCCCTCTGGGCATCAGCTTGAACTCCTGGGGGCAAAGTTCCTTTGCCCAAAGCAATAACAATAGCCCTAGCAGACCATGACTTCTTCCCTCCCAGTACTGGCTCTTTTCTCACTGGAGCTTTCTTCTCTGAGTCTGTCACCATGGACAGCAGATTACCCAGACAAAAGCCTTCCTGCTTTTCTTTCCCGTGGCTGCCCCAGCCTCGGAGCCCTGCCCTGCCCCCGGTCCAGTTCCTCCTTTGGGATGTGGACCCTGCGCCGTGCTAGCTCCTTTTGCTAGTTCCAAGAGCTGGCCAGGCCAGGGACCCTGCAAACACTTGCATCATCTGGGCGGGTTCCAGGAGTAGAGCCAGGCTGGAGAGCACCCTGGGGGCTCTGGCATCCTTCCAGTCCACAGATGCACACCCCAGGGGCACTGCCTTTCAGGGCAAACTGAGTGGTAGAGGTTTGATGGCAGGGCCTGGGGAGTGACCTGGGAGCCAATCTGCTGCTGCCCTCTGCTGTGTGCTGGGGCTAGACAGCTGTGAAGTACAAGGTGAGTGGAGAAGGCATGGGGAAGGGAGGCTTTTCCCTACGCCCAGACTGTGTGAGGGGCTTCTGGTGGCAGGATGTGGGGGTTGGGGGGCACTTGGGGGCAATGCTATAATTTACTTGCTTCAAATAAAAAGTTCCCAGCCCATTGCCAACTCTCAGGTGTCCAGTGGCAACGGTGAGCAGCAGCTGTTTCATTAAGAACATAGAATGTTGTCTGTCCCTCCTGCTGGCAGGGGGCCAGTGTCAGCTTTCAGACCCCACTCCTCCCAGCTCCCTTCCCTCTGAGGGGTGAGTGGGCACCCCTAAGGTCTGCAGGTGCTGAGGTTGGGAGTTCATGATGATGACACTCTGGTGCTGGGTGAGTGTGACTAGTCTCCATCACCTGGGGCTGACTCATGGCCCAAGTGTTCCTTCCTGGAGATCACAGTATTGGGGTCATTGTCTGCCCCTCTGTCAGGTCAATTCCAGTCAACATTGCCAAAGACAAGCTCAGTGGTCCTTCTCCTCCCCACCCCCTCTGCTGGACAAATGTCTGCCATCACTGCCACCCTCTGCCTTCGGTGTGAGATTTCAAGCAAGCTGGGTGCCTCAACCACGTTACTTAGCCTATTTGTATCTGTTTCCTTATCTGTAAAATGTGAATAGTCATGATACCTACCTGACAGGGTTAGTGTGAAATTTAAATGTATTCAGTATATAGTCTATTAATATATGCAAGGCCCTTCGAAGAGTGTGTGTGCCATAGAAGTATGATTTTTATTGGTCTGTAGGACTGTATGAGACACAGGTGGCTCAGAGAAGGCTGCTTTGTGTTAGAGGAGAAGCATGCCTTTTGGGGAGAACTCACATCCTTGGTCTCAAGGTCCCTGTGCCCTACATATTACCTGTAGCCTCAGTTGCCCAGCCAACCCTACCCCTGACCACTCTTAACAATGGGGAATCTCATAGGTGATATGTATNGAGTGGGCACCCCTAAGGTCTGCAGGTGCTGAGGTTGGGAGTTCATGATGATGACACTCTGGTGCTGGGTGAGTGTGACTAGTCTCCATCACCTGGGGCTGACTCATGGCCCAAGTGTTCCTTCCTGGAGATCACAGTATTGGGGTCATTGTCTGCCCCTCTGTCAGGTCAATTCCAGTCAACATTGCCAAAGACAAGCTCAGTGGTCCTTCTCCTCCCCACCCCCTCTGCTGGACAAATGTCTGCCATCACTGCCACCCTCTGCCTTCGGTGTGAGATTTCAAGCAAGCTGGGTGCCTCAACCACGTTACTTAGCCTATTTGTATCTGTTTCCTTATCTGTAAAATGTGAATAGTCATGATACCTACCTGACAGGGTTAGTGTGAAATTTAAATGTATTCAGTATATAGTCTATTAATATATGCAAGGCCCTTCGAAGAGTGTGTGTGCCATAGAAGTATGATTTTTATTGGTCTGTAGGACTGTATGAGACACAGGTGGCTCAGAGAAGGCTGCTTTGTGTTAGAGGAGAAGCATGCCTTTTGGGGAGAACTCACATCCTTGGTCTCAAGGTCCCTGTGCCCTACATATTACCTGTAGCCTCAGTTGCCCAGCCAACCCTACCCCTGACCACTCTTAACAATGGGGAATCTCATAGGTGATATGTATGGGTTTCCATCTCCTCAAACCACATTCATGGGCTTTTGGCTTAGCAGCGACCCCTCAGGTCCCCCAGCCACACTGTCCAGGGAATGCTTGTTCTGATTTTTCATATGGGGAATGGGCCCTCCTGTTGTGCCAGGGTCAGGTTGCCAGGCAGAGTGCACTGAGTCTCCAAGACCCATTGGCACTCTGTTGCCCAGTAGAAAGATAAACATCACCCTGACTGTTGTTCCTCCTGACTCCCCCAAGATTCCTCCCAAAGATGGAGACACTTTTTTCCCTGCTCTCTACACCTGCTCTTGGAGTCATCTGTGTGTCCAGAGAGCTGCTTAGCAACTCAGTGTAACTGGATGGCTGTGTCAACAGCTCAGGACCAAAGGCCATGAGACGCAGAGTCCACTTGCTCTGCCAAAGCTGAGGAGGGTGACACCCCCCCAGCCGCCAGCCTCATGCCCCTCTATGCTGAGCCCTGCTCTCAGCAGCAGACTTCTCACGTCTTGTGCCTTAGATTTCCCAAGCACAGTCATCAGGATCAGGAGTCTCCCTGTGAGAGACCGTCCCAGCTGGCAGGGCTTAGAGTGGGCACAGAGGAGCTCTTCCCCAGCAAAGGAGGGTAGAGAGAAGCCTGTGATGCTGGGGTCACATGGTGACTCTGGAAGACAGCTGGTGGGAGAAAGCTGTTCCTCAGCAGGTACCAGAGAACCCGAGATTCACGTGTGCAGTCAGCCCAGGCATCCTTACCTCCCAAAGCATAGACATTTATGCAAACCCCCACCCCCACCCTGCTCCTCCTGAGCTGGTCCCCTACTGAGTCAGTCACATCTTTCTTCTCCAAGGACTCTGCCTAGAGATGGATGGTTGGATACCAGACCTTGGCATTTCTTATTCTTCCAAAGCAGAATGGGAGCTAGGCCGGGGGTGAGGGGGTGGTTAGGCGAGGAGAGGCAGTAGGGCCTCAGGGAAGCTTCTCCTGTGGGCCAGTTTCACTGTTAGCTCTCACACCCAGCAACACCTATAAAAATGATGATAATAATTAAGTATAATCACAATATGTTTTTATTTATTCCCAAGTAGCCTACTTTCCCTGGCCCCCATCATTACCTATTTCATCCTTCCAAGGGGGTGGTGGGCGTTAAATGTGGCTCTAATAAAAAGTAATAACTGCCCGTTTCCCACCCCCACAGCTCTGCTGTCATCCTCACCTCAGCCCTGCGAGGCAGAGGGGAGGCTGCAAGGTGTGGGAGGATGCTGTGCTATCCATTTCCAGAGGGGGGAAGGAGGCACTAAGCAGGAGAGGGACACAGAATGCAACCCCATGTGGAAACTTATAGAAGCAGCAGAGTTTGCCTTCTCTTTGGAGCCTTTCGCCTTCTTCCAGGTGTACACCTGCCTCCCAGAGGAGCTTCTTCATTCCCCGTTCCCTCTCAAAGCCACCTGTAGATGACTGATCCAGCCAAGCATTGGTCCACCTGCCACCAGATGACGCTGGGCAAGTAACTTTTCATCCCTGAGAGTATTTCCTAATTTTTTTTTTTTAAAGGATCTTTGTAAACATCAAGACCCTGCACACAAAAATGCACTACAAAATGGCAAATGGTGATATTATTAAGCTCTCAGGGATATTTGTGTTCTTGGCTCAGAGGAATAGGTGGAATTTCAAACTTCTGGTGAGGAAGGCACGGCGGCTGGGGGCTTTGCCCAGAACCTCTCAAATCCTCCTGTCAGCCTGCCCAGCGCTGTGGGCTCTGGCAAGGGACCCAGACCGAAGTTGGCTCCTGAAGCCCGCCCTCCCGGGGTAGGAGGATGGGGGCGATGAGTGCCCCAGGTTCCCTCTCCCCATCTCCTCCCGCTTTCCCCATCCTGAGCTCTGGACCCAGCGAAGTAAGACCCGGATCTGCTGGGGCTCGCCAAGCGTCCTTCCAGCTTGCGCCCGAGCCTCGAAGGGTGCACCTCCACCCATCTCGTGCCCGCGCCCATTTCACAGACGGGAAAACGAGGCAACCGGGGAAGCCGCGGATGAGCCAGCCCCGTAACCTCTGGAGTCCGAATCTCCTTCGCTTCCTCCACCTCACCCTAACCGCCCCACCACTTCGTCGTCGCTGGCCATCCCCTAATCTTCCCAACCAAGGGGCCCCACCTGCACGGAGGTCGGAGGACCGCCGCCCTTTAAGGCGCGGGCCGCGCGCCGCCCGGCCTC